ATTTTAATTCAGAAGATGTCCAATTTATCAATTTTTCTTTTATGGATCATGCTTTTTATGTCAAGTTTAAGAACTCTTTGTTTATAAGTCCCAACGACTTCCATTTTACTTTTTACATGTAAGTCAACCATCAATTTTGAGTTAATTTTTGTATAAGATGTGAGGTTTATGTTGAGGTTCGTTTTTTTCCCCTATTGACGTTGGGCGACTTTTTTCTGACACTAATTCCGACACTGTATGTGTAGTTTTTTTTCAACACCAACCAATTCTCCAACACAAAAGGTGCCCAACAATTCAATTCTGAGACTGACTGCTTACAATTAGAGCAGACTCCACAGGTCAAGGACTCAGTCCCACAAGACTGTCCCCACTTCAGATGCCTGCCACGGGCTATGCACACTTCTGCTCAGCAGACTTCAAAATCAGTGGTTCCCACAACACGCAGGCCCCTCAGGTTGAAATTCACTAGAACTCAGGAAAACATTTTACTTAATGTTTACCAGTTTTATATAAAGGATATAACTCAGGAACAACCAAATTAAAATAAGGCAGCGTTTGGAAGGGGGCAGTGTGCAGAGCTCCCGTGCTTCCTCCCGGCATGCCACCCTCTCAGCACGACGATATGTTCAACAGCCCAGAATCTCTCAGCCATTAAAAAGACGGGGGCAGACACACATGCACACACGGAATGGCCTCCAGAACACACCGTGAAGAGAACACTCAAGGTAGAACACAAAAACCTATAACCTAGGTGTCCAGAGATCGCCCTTTCCTCCGCCCCCATTAAATGCCTCTAGAAGGATATACAGGAACACATCAACAACTGTGGTCTCCAAGGAGGGGTCTCAGGTGAGAAAGAGGCTCATTTTTCATTCATCTGCTTACCTCCTTTTTAATTCTTTACCACATGCATGGGTTGCTTTTTCAACTAAAGTAAAAATATTTGGTCCCAAACAGAGAACTACAAAAGCTAGATGGAGGGACAGTTAAGGCTCTCTCCAATGACAAGCAGTGAGAACACACCTGGATGAGCTTAGCGATACAGGAGAATCCACTGGCTGTCTACCAGGGCATCTCACAATGTGAGTGCAGCCTGACCCCGGGAGCGGGGAAGTGCCAGCCCTCCACCCGGTTTGTCTCAGCCACTCCTCTCTATGAGGCCTCACACTCCTGTCCCTGCCCCCACCGTCTGCTTTATTCTTATCCCTGCCCACACCAGGGAATGGCAGCCCCAGCCTCCAAGATGGCCTGTTCTCACCAGTCCAGCAGCCTCAGCTGACTGCTCGTAATCCTGGAGTCCAATCACACACGTATAAGGGAAGTGCCCACACTGGGGACCCCAGCTCCACTGGAAGGAAGTTAGGACACCAACTTGCTGCTCTTCCAGCACAGCAATCCAACTGAGGCCCTGGTCCCGACTGCCAAGAGGCACACAAGGCCAACCTTGTTCAAGTGGAGCAGGTCTCAGTCTTCACGTGACCCCCAGGGAGGCAACATCTCATAAGAAGTCTTGCTCCAGACTGGACGGCACATGTGTGGCTCAGTTACCCTGGGAGCAGCAGTTATCATCTGACTGTGGTTCAGCTGCTGGGGCAGGGCCTGTGAGGAGTCTTGGGTGAGTGGGAGAAGCTGTGATTTGGGGCAGAAGTCCTTATGATACTGAGTCCAGGAGCTTGAGGCCCAAACAGGACCAGGCTCTTGCAACTGCAGTGGGATGGATGTGTACCACAGTGGAATGAGCACTGGGCAACATCTTCCTTCTCAGCACAATATGCGCCATCACTCTGGGGCACACGTGCCAGAGAGCTCATCTTCACAGAGCCTGGAGCCCCACCTCCATGCCTGTCAGGCATCTGCACACAACCCAGCTGCCATCATCCACATCCTGGACTCTAGCCCCCGCCCACATAGCTCCTTCAGGAGGCTTCCAGCCAATCACGTACACCAGGGTTTGGGAAGCAGTGCCAGCTGGGAAGTCCTGGCGACAGGGGCTGAGTCTACAGATGTTGAGAAGGCTGCTGGTGTCCCTTCTCCTTCAGCCTCCTGAGTCAGAGAGGAGCAACACCAACAGCAGCAGCAGCAGCGGCAACAGAAACATGGGGAGTTCCCCGGTGGCCTAGTGGTTGGGATTCCAGGCTTTCACTGACGTAGCCTAGGTTCAATCCCTGATCGGGGAACCGATAGCCTGCAAGCCACATGGCTCAGCCAGAACACACAAAAACATCAATAACAGGAGCAGCAGTAATGGGAGGAAATGCAGTAATAGCAACAGGGGTGGGAGCCGGAGCAGCTAATCCACTCTGAACACTGTCACGTCCCAAGCACTCTGCATACCTCACTTCTCTTACTCCTAATGAGGTAGGGCTTATCCATATTTTATAAGTGAAGAACTAAGGCACAGAGAGATTCAATAATTCACCTGAGATCACACAGCTACTGAGATGTAATCCCATGAGAAACCCAAGTCTGACTGAAGTCAAGAGATGTGCTTCTAACCATGACACTAACATTCACGTGGTGCGGTCCAATGTTTTCATGCAATTTCGTACAATTTTTCTTTAACTGGGATCAACTTTCCTGTACAGGCCTTCTGAGCAGCCAAGGAATTGCCACTTGACTGAGCGTCTACTGACCATCAGGCAGAACGTTTTCTTTTATAACTAAAAGGCCCAAAGTGCGCACACACATATATACACACGATATTAAACATAAAGATATTTCGATATATGAGCTAGAATAGAAGCCCCAAGAGCTCAGGAACACTTTCCTGTTTAACCAGCTTGTTAAGAGCCTATGCACACTTCTGTGTTTTGCTTCCCTCCACCTTAAGAGAATTTTCAATCTTGTAATAAAACAATTACACGTGATACAGGCTACAGGAAAGGAATAACACTTAATATGCAGCAACACGACAGGGACTACATCACCACCTTTTGTTCCAGCAGGTAGGTCGTTAATCATTATCTCAGCGACAGTCTCTTCCTTGAAAGTTCTAGTTTCCTCAAATGAATGAATCTCACTAGTCATTTAGTTCCTCCTCCTGATATTAGTTATTTTATTAGACCTAAGACACAACTGATGGTAAGATGCACATTTTGTGAAGACAAAATGCAAATGAGAAGACAAAAGGCTACCCATTAAACTGATTTCTGAGATGTTACAATGTGAAAAGAATGTGCATATTAGAAAAAATGGAATAGAGTTGAGTCCTTAGGGTTCTATGTCAGGACTAAATTCCAGGCACACACTTTTTCTAGAAATGTGTTAAAAACCTGACTGTGGGTTTGTAATGGGACAATTGCTCTACAGGGGGCTCCTCTCCAGAATTCATTTCCTGATACACTCGAGTCCTGCTGTCCGAAGAAGCAACTAGATGTGCAGTTTCAGAGGATCTGAAATGAGTGAGTGTCATATGTTTAAATTATTAGTATTTGGAATATAGGTGGTAAAATAAAATGTTATTGACATTAATTTCACCTCTTTCTTATTACTTTTAAAAACATGTGGCCACTAAAGAATTTGAAATTATACATGTGGCTCACATTATATTTCCAGCAGACAGCATTACTCGAAGATCGGATCTCCAGGTGGAAGATTTCCCACATCAAGTGTACGTTTTCTGTCCATCTTTAGTATGAGCTTTCTTTCACAATAAACTTAGTATCACCTTAAGAGACTTTCCTGTATTATCACTCCATATTGGCTAATTCAAAAATACGTCCCCTTTTACCTAAGAGTTTCAGCAAGGGTTCTTTTTGTTTGTTTAATATTTTATTTATTTATTTATTTATTTGGTTCTGCCAGGTCTTAGTTGTGGCAGGCAGGCTCCTTAGTTGAGGCACGTTGGCTCCTTAGTTGCAGCAGTCGGGCTCCTTAGTTGCAGCATGCATGTGGGATCTAGTTCCCTGACCAGGGATTAAACCCAGGCCCCCTGCATTGAGAGCACAGAGTCTTAACCTCTGCACCACCAGGGAAGTCCCTTGGCAAGGGTTCTTACTGAAACCTCAAACTCATCACATTAACCAAATCTTCTTCTTTTTTTTTTTTTTGCCGTACGCGGGCCTCTCACTGTTGTGGCCTCTCGCGTTACGGAGCACAGGCTCCGGACGCGCAGGCTCAGCGGCCATGGCTCACAGGCCCAGCTGCTCCGCGGCATGTGGGATCTTCCCAGACCGGGGCACGAACCCGCGTGCCCTGCATCGGCAGGCGGACTCTCAACCACTGCGCCACCAGGGAAGCCCCAAATCTTCTTTTTAATGCAAATAAAAGCAAGAGTTCCAGTTTAAACGTTTCCCACGTTAATTGCATTCCTAGACTTTGATTTGCATATCATATAACAACAGAGAGAAACTCCAAGAGAAGTTCCCCCTGCCATCCTGGTTCCCTCTCTAAACTGTGTCACCATCCTTCAAAAGGTTTCATTGTGAGGTGTCACAGTCTCATGTATGTTTAGCACAATCCCTGAAGGTTTTTGTTGTTGTTGTTGTTTTTCGGTACCGGGCCTCTCACTGCTGTGGTCTCTCCCGCTGCAGAGCACAGGCTCCGGACGCGCAGGCCCAGCGGCCATGGCTCACGGGCCCAGCCGCTCCGCGGCACGCGGGATCCTCCCGGACTGGGGCACGAACCCGCGTCCCCTGCATCGGCAGGCAGACTCCCAACCACTGCGCCACCAGGGAAGCCCCCTGAAGGTTTTAACATATTTGTTATGTTTCTAGAGTTTCTTTCCAATAAGTTCAGCAAAGTGGCAGAAGAATTCTCCCAGCTTATTACACAAACACAACGTCTTGGGATTTCTGTTCTGAGGAGTAAGGGATGAATTATACTATTTTCAAAGAACTGCTGTTCAATATGAAGTCTCTGACATGGCATAAGTAAAGAGAATCAGACAGAGCCATCTTCCCATTCGCTGACTCCAGTGGACTCTGATGTCCAGTAAGAGCATAGCTGCTCTGGAACCCTGTCCCACAGGGTTTGACACACAGGTACAGGGGCTCTTGATCCTATATCCTCTGATGCTTGGTCAGACAGGAGCTGTCCCTGAAAGCTTTGCCACACTGATTACACTCATAGGGTTTCTCACCAGTATGAATCCTCTGGTGACGGACGAGGCCAAGGATGTTCCTGAAAAGTTTCTGACACTGGTCACGGCCATAGGGCTTCTCTGGGGTCTGATGAGGTAAGCCCTCTCAATGAAAGTTTTCCCACATTCTTTACACTCACAGGGTTTCTCCCCAGAATGGATTTTGTGATGCACAATGGGGTGACCATTGCAGGTGAAGGATTTTCCACAATCCGTACACTTAACAGGGTTTCTCTCCAGTATGAATTCTCCCATATTCATAGGTTGAATCTAAAATATGACACAAAAAACTTATCTACGAAACAGACTCAGATATAGAGAACAGACTTGGGGGTACCAAGGAGGAGAGGGGGTGAGGGAGGGATGCACTGGGAGTTCGGGGTTAGTAGATGCAAACCATTACATATAGAATGGATAAACAGCAAGGTCCTGCTATATAGCACAGTGAACTATATTCAATATCCTGGGATAAACTGTAATGGAAAAGAATATAAAAAAGAATGTATATATGTGTATAACTCAGTCACTTTGCTGTAGAGCAGAAATTAACATAACATTGTAAATCAACTATAGTTCAAAAAAATAAATTTAAGAAAAAGGCATTAGGGACAATTGGGAAAATTTGAACACGGATGGATTATCAGATGATACAGAGAATTATTGCTAGTTTTCTTAGCAATAACAGTATTATGGTTGTGCAGAAGAATGCCCTTATTCTTGGAATTTATGTCCTGACATATTTAAGGGTAAAGTGTCATATCTGCACTTATATTCAAATGGTTATACATACACAAATATAGAAATACACATATTATACACACAGTAAATATACATGCACACATAAATATACATAGACACACATACACTCATAAACACACATACATACACATATACCAATATACACATATAAACACGTGTACATACATATATACACACATACACGCAAATACAGATTAAAATACACATACACAAATATGCAAAAATATGCATATACACATACATATTACAAATACATACTATATAACTTTTATATACTGCATACATATAAATCTAGATGATGGGTGATGGGTGTTCATTATACTCTTTTTCAACTTTTCTGTTAATATTTTAGAAACTTGTTAAAATAGAAAATACGGGAAACATTAATGCTCCTAAGGGAGAGGTACTATCTCAGGGATCAGCATTCATTAACACCCAGGTGAGAATAAATTTATAACAGTTTTCTCAAAAGGTGTTCAAGAGATGGTTACAGGCATTCTAACGGGGAAAATATGATACTAGCTGGGACCTGTATGAAAACCATGCAGTTACCACCCCAGCAAAATGCTGACTTGTAAAATCCTTTCTACACAGTAGATTTTGATGCAGGAGAAAACAGGAAGGCTGCGGTGGTCTGGACATCTCTACTCTGCCTCGAAGAACTGGGGTCGAGGCAGGGTAGAGCTGTGCAAAACCACTCAGTTCCCTCCAGCCAGCTCCAGAATCGCCTGGCCCTCCAGCTGCTTGCAATAGCTGGCAGCTGATCCAGATTGAAAACTATTTTATCTCTTTGTTCTATGAGTTAAATATGTTTCTGAAAAGTTGTAAGTAAATGAAGTAGGGCAAACAATTCTATTTTAGATTCAACAGGGGAGCATCCTATTTAAACAAAACCTGTAGCAAATTCCATTTAAATATTTTCCTGTTAAGAATGTCACTCTAAAATTAATATAATGAATTAATATAATACACACTCAATATGGAAAACTTGGAAAACATAAAATACAAAGAAAATTGTCTTGGGTGCATTTACTTCCTATTTTCTTCCTGCAGAATCTTTTTCACATACTTAAAGTCAAACTGTACAGACAATTTTGGGCCTTCTTTTTGTTTTTCCCTGTTAACATTATATTATTGGTAGTGTCCATATCATTAATGTGTCTTTATTAGCATAAAAAAATGACACAGCCTCTTTGGATGATAATTTTGAGTTTAAATCAAAATTTAAACCACACAGCAGGGAATTCCCTGGCTGTCCAGTGGTTAGGACTCAGTGCTTTCACTGCTGTGGCTCAGGTTCAAAAAGTAAACCACACAGCAATGTAGTGAATCAACACCGGCATTCTTTTTAAAATGATGTAAATTAAAATTCAAAACTAACATAAGAGGACCTCACACATAGTGTTGTTTCATCAAACTTTTCCTCCAGTTACGTATGTATGGGGGTCGTGATGTAAATGTGTTTCTTACAATGCCTGGGTTAAAAAACCTTGAGAACCACCATGCTGAAGAAATCCTTACTCATTTCACAAGGACACATGTTCAAGATGCCCCCTAGGGCACTCTTGGGAATGTTGAAAAACCATAAATTTACAAGATATCCATCAACAGGTGGTAGGAAGGAACAAATAAATTGTGGCAGCCTCACAAGGCGGAATACTGTACAGTAGTGAAAACAGTATGTGCAGAAAGCTCCACTTAGTACACAGTAGGTTGGTAAGAGAAGCAGGTAGCAGAGTTTCACACATTGAACATATCAATTTCAAACACACACACCATATTGTTCGAAGCTACGGATATTATAAAGGGAAAAGCTGTAACGACAGCCTGGAGACAACAGATGAGTGTTTGCTAGATGTATACCGCACCCCCTCTATGATCTCAAGTCTCTTGGACAAGGACTAGCTCCTTCCCACGGTCGCACAGGAATGGCCCTTTCCACACACTCAGCAAGTGTTTACGGAACACCTACTGTGTGCCAGGCCCTGTTTAGGCAGGGATGATTCATCAATGGATGAGAGAGATGAAGACCGCCATCTGGGACATATCCCTGGTGGCACGGTGGTTAAGAATCCACCTGCCAATGCAGGGGACAGGGGTTCGAGCCCTGCTCAGGGAAAATCCCACATGCCACGGAGCAACTAAGCCGGTGCGCCACAAATACTGAGCCTGTGCTCTAGAGCCCGTGAGCCACAACTACTGAGCCCGCGTGCCACAACTACTGTCGTGCTTAGATTCTATGCTCTGCAACAAGAGAAGCCACTGCAGTGAGAAGCCCGCACACCCCAACGAAGAGCAGCCTCTGCTCACCGCAACTAGAGAAAGCCCGCGGGCAGCAACAAAGACCCAACACAGCCATAAATTAATTAATTAAAATAAATAAATAATAAATAACAATAAATAAATGACAAAAAGAGAGAGACCTCCACCTGGTGAAGCTAGCATTCTGGTGGGGAAGATGCAGACAAAGGACAAAATACAAAATCTGTTGCTATCAAACACTCACTGCAAACTCAGAGAGCGCACAAACCTGGGTCAGTTTTTGGAGTTACGGCTGGTGGCCCTGACTGCTCCAACCTCCAGCACTATCCACAACTCAGAAACCAACCAGATTCAGGGAACACGCTGTCCAAGGAAGCAGGCAGGGCTCTGATTTTCACTGTTATGCAAGCTCCTTACTACCCGGAGTCCAGGAGCAAAGAGCTCCTGGCCAGCAGCCCCAGCCCCTGAAGGATTCCGGCTGTTACAGAGCAAGGGGAGCCATAGGGGACTTGGAGCACAGATGGGACATGATGTGACACATAAGCTGATGGGCTCCTGCTGGGGAACTGACGGTGGGGAGGGCAGAGGCAGGGGAGCAGGGAGCAGTTCCGTTACAGGGAGAAGGGGTGGTGCAGTGGCTGAACTCTGGAACTATATTGGAGGTACAGGCATGGGACTTTCAGGCAGAGATGATGTGGGGGTTGGTGAAAGGGAAACATCAAGGCGGACGGTGGGGAACGTGGGCAGAAGGCGGAGACTCTATTTACAGAGAGTGGAAGGACTGGCTTCGGGGCCCAGAGGTTCTGCTGAGGACCCCACACTCTGAGGTGTCTGTCCCGGGGGACCGGGGGGACGGTGAGGGTGGATGACAGCTTCAGGGGATTAGGGGCCTGTGGATAAGGGCACCTCAGTCCACGACCGAGGTTTGGGGGTGAGGGAGAGTTCGTAGAGGGCAGGGGGAATCGGTCTTTGGAAGAGCAGAGGGGGGCGGGCAGGAACAAGGCTGTTGGGTGAGGAAGACGAAAAGAGGGGAAAGCATCCTTGGGAGTGCGACACAGGAAACTGAACAGGTTGTGCAAGCCCAAACCTTGTGAGACGGGGGTGGAGGGCTGCGCACCTGAGAGAGTGACGACAGGCAAGGACCGGGAGGAGGTTAGGGAGTCGTGCCCAGGGGGAGAGAGAAAGAAGGGGAATCCGCCCACGCGGGAGGAGAAAGGACGAAGGGAGAGGAGCGGGATATAGGGGCCCGCGCCCCATGGGAAGAGGCGAATGGGGGTCTGCACATCACGGGGAGGAGCGAATGGGGGTCCGTACCTCACTGGTATGGGGGAAGACTAGGGGGTCTGCGCGCCATAGGAGTAGGGAATAAGGGGTCCGCCCCCCATGGGGAGAACGGGAGATAAGGGGGTCCGTGCCATTCAGGCAAAGGTGTCCCCCCCAACTCCCGGGCACCCGCGCCCACCCCGCTCCTGCCCCGCCCGGAGGTGGCCGCCGCGCAGCTCCCAGTCACCTTGGACGCCCTGAAGCTCCCCACAGCCAGGCCTAGGGCTCTCTCCCCGCCCGGGGGTTGAAAACCGAGGCCCAAGAACCACCTGAAGGAAACTCATAGTGCCGGACACCGGACCGTCGACTTCCTCTTCCCTGTCAGCGCGCCGCCTGGCTGTGCGCATGCGCAGGTTCCGAACTGCGGCTTCGCCGGGCCCCGGGGGCGGGGGCGGGGGGCGTGGTTCTTTCCCAACTCTGTAGGGGGTCGTGGTGACTCACTGCTCACATTGTCTGTGCTTACCTGGACTATGTGTCTTTGACGAACTTTATGTACGATATCAGTGTATCATTTTGATGTACGTTCCTTTGTCCCGAAAATGTGTATGAATGTATCTTTGACTTCTAGCAGGTGGTACAGTTCTCAGAGCTTTTTGAGAGTCTCCTGGGTTATAATCCTCAGTTTGGCTCAAATAAAATCCTCCTCTTTCTCTTCTTAGTTTGATTGTTCATTGAATTTTCATCGACAGGTTAAACAGAGTTGCCATGTAACCCAGCAATTCCACTCCAAGGCTTCTACTCAAGAGTACTGAAAGCATATATTCACAAAAAAAACTTGTACATGAACAATTATAGTAGCCTTATGCATAAGATCCCCAAAGCGGAAACAACCCAAAGGTCCATCAACTGATAAACAAAATGTAATATAGCCATATGATTAAATATTATTCAGCCATAAAAAGGAATGAAATACTGACACTTGCTACAACACGGATGAACCCTGACAACATTATGCTGAGTGAAGTCACAGCACCTGTCGTATGATACCATTTATATGAAATGTCCAGCGTAGTGAAATCTGTAGAGACAGGAAGTATATTAGTGGTTGCCAGGGGCTGGAGGAAGGAGGGAATAGGAAGTGGCTGCTAATTGGAGGGGGAGGGGGTAATGAAATGTACTGGAATTAAAGAATGGTGATCACTGCATGACCTCATGAAAATACTAAAATCCATTGATTTGTACACCTACAATTTTTTTCTACTTAAAAATTGTTTAATCTATTTTACCAGAAAGGATTCAGTTGAATTCCTTTGGTCACTCTAAGCCTAGACATCCTAGACTTATGTATTTGTTATTTTCTTCTGGGTTAAACACACTTTCAACCTATTCATCTCTTAGGGTCTTAAGTGCTGTCCTTGTAAATGTGGGTTTTTTTAATTTGGCAAAGGCAGCCTTGAACCCTATACCCGCCTCATCTCCAGTGAAGCCATTTCCCCAACTGCTGTCCACGAAGGGATTTCACCTATGGCCTTTTGCCCCTCCCACGGTGGAGGGGGTCTCTCCTTCCTAAATCCCATTCTCTCTTGGTCCATAACATCACCCACCCTTAGCTTCCCTCCTCCCTTCTTGGCCATTTCATCTTCATCTGGCTGCCTCCTTTCCCTGTTTTTCCCATGGTTGCTTGCTTCCTGGGTCTCCGCCCTGAGTGTTCCCCTAACATAGTCTGAGGTCTACAAGGCTCTACCTACCTCATCCTGCCCACTCCCCTCACCCCTTTCTCCCTGATGCCCCTACTTCCCCTCCCACATCAACACATACCACTCCCTGCAGGGGCAGTCTTCCTTCTCTACTCCTTGGTTAATCACTCCTCACAGCTCTCTGCTGTTATTTTGTTTCTTTTTCCTATTCAAGTTCACATCGATGCTTTTGTGATAGTTTGATAAATGCCCATCTTGCTTTCTAACTAGCCAGTTCCACAAGGCTGGACACACTGTCTGTCGTGCTCCTAGTTAGACTCTACAGGGACCAACGTGCTGGCATACATTAGAGATGCTCATCAAGTGTTTGTGGATTGAATGAACTGGAAGATGTTTTCCAAAACATGAATCATGATGGCTGGTGACAGCTGAGACTCTGGATGTGATTTCTTATTTTCATATTTTTCTGGACATTCCAAGTCTTGGCTTTCAGTGAGCAAGGATTACATTAGAATCAGAAAGCAACAAAGACATGCACCCAAGGTGTGGCTGCCCACTGTTCACTTGTGCTGGTGTACCTCCATCTAGCTCTTTTAGTTCAACAAACATTTATTGAGTACTTGTTGCAGTATTCCAGCAGCCAGGGATAAAGCAGAAAACAGAACAATGTGTTTACAGTCCAGCAGGGAAAGTAAATAAGCACAATGCATCATGTATCAGTCAGATGGGTTGAAGCCTTGGAGAGACATAAAGCAGGGAGAGGACAGAGTGTGACTATTGGGCAGAGGCAGTTGCAGTTTTAAATAGAGAATTCGGGGAAGGCCTCGCTGAGTAGGTGCTGTGTGACTGATGAATTGCAGGAGGTGAGGACCTGAGCCAGAACGTGTTGGGGGAAGAGGATCCCCATGGAGAGAACAAGGATTGCAGAGGCCCTGACATGAGAACATGCCTGGCGTGTATGAGAAAGAGCAGGGAGGCCACTGAAACTTGAACAGAGTGACCAAGGGGGAGATGGGAGAAGAGGGAACAGGGAGGTGACAGGGCTATCAATTAAAACATTATGGGGCTTCCCTGGTGGTGCATTGGTTAAGAATCCGCCTGCCAATGCAGGGTACACGGGTTCCAGCCCTGGTCCGGGAAGATCCCACATGCCAAGGAGCAACTAAGCCCGTGCACCACAACTACTGAGCCTGCACTCTAGAGCCCACGAGCCACAACTACTGAAGCCCACAAGCCACAACTATTGAAGCCTGCGTGCCTAGAGCCTGTGCTCTGCAACAAGAGAAGCCACTGCAGTGAGAAGCCCGCGCATCGCAACGAAGAGTAGCCCCTGCTCGCCACAACTAGAGAAAGCCCGCGCACAGCAATGAAGACCCAATGCAGCCAAAAATAAAATATAAATTAATTTATAAAAAATTAATTAATTAAAAAATTGAAATTTCAAAGGCTGGCCAGGATGCAAAGCATCACAAAGTCTCATTTGTTGCTGGTGGGAAAGCAATATGGTACAACTGCTTTGGACAGCTTTGCAGTTTCTTACAAAGCTCAACATAGACTTACTGTAATGACCCACAATCGCACTCCTAGGTATTTAACCAAGAGGAATGAAAACCTACGTACTAATATTTGTGGTCCCCCACCCCATCCCATTCATTTTGAGCTCCTAATCTCGAATATGCTGGTATGTGAAGCCGGGGTCTTTGGGAGGTGATTAGGTCTGAGGATGCAGTCCTCATGAATGGAATCAGTGCCCTCATGAACAAGACCCCAGAGAACTCTCCTGCCCCTTCCACCATGTGAGGACACTGCGAGAAGATGGCCATCCATGAACCAAGAGCACATCTGGAACTTCTACACATTCTTAGGAGATGGACTTCTATCAGGATGCTGAAAGGTTCCTTCCCCTCAGCCAGCGAAGTGGGCGGGAGCTGGGAGTACAGGTACGAGGCATCTCTTCCTTAACTTTTCTGAGATCTCTTTTCACTAATGGCTGTTTATTAATAGGACTTAATTTTCAAGACTAGTTCTGGAATTCCCCAAAGGGCACTTGGTTGAGCAGGCCATGCCTTCTCTCAAAGCAGCAAACAGACACCACCAGAGGGTTTTTTTGGTTTGTTTCTTGGCCTCGGGGTAAGGCCTGTGAGATCTTAGTTCCCCAACCAGGGATTGAACCCGGGCCCCCAGCAGTGGAAGCACAGAGTCCTAACCACTGGACTGCCAGGGAATTCCTTTTTTTTTTTCAAGCTGAGTTTTTAAACTTGCTGGGCAAGGGAATGCACACCGAATACTTCTCCAGGTAGGAGCAGGGAAGGTTAAAGTTCTAAAAGAACTAGAAAGGGCAATGTATTCATTTCCTATGGCTGCTGTAACAAACTGCCACAAACTTTTTGGCTTAAAACTACACAAATGGACTTCCCTGGTGGCGCAGTGGCTAAGAATCTGCCTGCCAATGCAGGGGACACAGGTTCGAGCCCTGCTCTGGGAAGATCCCACATGCTGTGGAACAACTAAGCCCAGGCACCACAACTACTGAGCCTGTGCTCTAGAGCCCGTGAGCTGCAACTACTGAGCCCACGTGCCACAACTACTGAAGCCTGCGTGCCTAGAGCCTGTGCTCCACAACAGAGGCCACTGCAATGAGAAGCCCGCACACCGCAACAAAGAGTAGCCCCCACTCACCGCAACTAGAGAAAGCCTGCGTGCAGCAAGGAAGACACAATGTAGCTAAAAATAAATAAATTTATATATATTTTAAAAAAAAAAACTACACAAATGTATTCCAGAGCCATAAACCTGAAATGAGTCATATGAAGCTAAAATCAAGGTGTCAGCAGGGCTGGTTCCTTCTGGAGACTTCAGGGGGGATACCAGTGTCCCTGCCTTTTCCAGCTTCTAGCAGCTGCTTCCATCATCATATCCCATTCTGACTCTGATCCTCCTGCTTCCCTCTTGTAAGAACCCCTGTGATGACACTGGGCCCACCCAGATAACCCAGGATAATCTCCCCGTCTCAGATCTTTGACTTAATTACTCCTTCCAAGTCCCTTGGCCATATAAACCATCAGAGGTTCCAGTGATTAGGATGTAGACCTATGTGGGAGGCCATTATTCAGCCTACCAATGAGGATTCCTGACTGCTGTGTTTTATTTTTATTTTTTTGTCTGCGTCACGCAGCATGTGGGATCTTAGTTCCCCAACCAGGGATCAAACCCTCCTGACTGCTATGTTAATCAAGTATTGCAACCCAGCCTGTGGGAGAACAGAAGAGGGCCTGGGTCTGGACAGGAATGGTTAAAACCAGCCATACTGGCCACCAATCAGTCAAGGCTTGTAAGAGGCTATGCCCTGGGGCTTCCCTGGTGGTGTAGTGGTTAAGAATCCACTTGCCAATGCAGGGAACACGGGTTTGAGCCCAGGTCTGGGAAGATCCCACATGCTGCGGAGCAACCAAGCCCATGTGCCACAACTACTGAAGCCCACATGCTCTACAGCCCGTGCTCTGCAACAAGTCACCGCAATGAGAAGCCTGAGCACCACAACGAAGAGTAGCCCCTGCTCGCCGCAACTAGAGAAAGCCCGCGCACAGCAACGAAGACCCAACGCAGCCAAAAATAAATAAATTAAAAAAAAAAAAAAAAGAGGCTATGCCCGGGGTCTCTCTCAGATTCAGCTATTAGCCCTGGTGTAGAGAAGCCCAATATCCAATTGCAGCATCTCCAAAGCAAGAGCTGCTCCAAGGAGTTTTCCTCTTGCATTGCCCTGCAGGGGCTGGGGGTGGGGTTGGTGTTCCTAATTTGTATGAAGGTGAGGTGTAGACTATCAGCGGCCCTGCTGCAGTCTTAGCCAGGAGCAGGCTGAAAGAGTGCAAGGAGGACCAGAAGAAACAGGGAAAGGGCAGGAAAGAGTTTCCTTTAATGCTTGTGCTAGTTTTCTATTGTTGCCATAACAAAGCACCACAAACATAGCTTAAAACAACGCAGATTACCTCATAGCCTTAATTAGCTCAGTGACCTTCCCTCTGACTCTGCCTCCATAGGAACAAGTCAAACTTCCAAGGGGAGCCACCCCAGGGCTCCGAGGCTATGCCAACCAGTGTGAGCAGCTCTCAGCCAGCCAGCACTGCAGGGCCTCAGGAGGGATGCTCCCAGGTCCTCCCAGACCTCTCTGTAGCCTCCTACTCCCCATTCCCGGAGACCCACCCTCTTCTTCACAATAACACCCTCTCATTATCCAAGTCCCAAAGAAAGAAGTTATTCTTAGGCCCTGAGCTGTGGGATGCTGATTCAGAGAAGTTTCTGCCGAGATGTCCCCATCCATGCTTACAACCAACTGCCCTGCAACACTGACTTAGCCACTTCTGGTTTTAAAAAGGTCCAAAGAAAACCCAAACTCACCTCTTTTTTTCTCCACCTTTTTATTCCTCATCAAATGATTATAACAATGTATGATTTGTGATAGAGGAAAAATCATACGCAAGTAACAGTCACTTAGGAGACCCCATGTTTATTTCTCTATGATCGACTCCCAACCTACATCCGTATGTGTGCACACTTTACATGGCAAATTTTCTATTTTATGCTTTTGGTTGCCGGCCATATTATAAGCGTTTTCAATATGGCAACAAAACCTTTATCATCATGGTTTGGCATGGTTGCATGGAACAAATCACAAGTGTCCCAAATGAACAATGAGGGGTGACAACGTAAACATAACAACTCAGTGTTTCTCTGTTTGTTTGTCTCAACAACTAAAGCAACACATCATATTTCTCAGCAGCTGCCCTTTCCTTCTTAGGAGAACCTGCTTTGGTCTCCATATTAAGAGGAATAACATCACTGTTCATTCACAAGCGACTTCCTCACCCAGGTGCCCCTGCTGAAACGAGTCCTCAGCACCTGGCAGGAATGTAACGCGGAAATACATTCAAATGCCAATCCGCTGTAATTCTGTGGTTGCTGTGAGCTGGAGCACTGTGTGGGGTTTCTCACCAGCATGCCTTTGCTGACACAGCTAAGACAGCAAGGGCTCCTGCCGACAGCTTCCCTTGCTGGATTCCAGTAAGAGTTTGCTTACGTACAGTAAGGCAGACACTCCCTCCTAAAGGATTCCTCTTCCCGATTACACAGGCTCTTTCCAGTTTAAGGACTCGGATGTACGGGTAGGTGAGTTCTCCAGGGAAGTATCTACCTGATTTTCTCAGGTTTTATTCCAGTGTATGCACTATCATGTTTGGTACAGGCTGAATCATCCCTGAAGCCTTTGCCACATTTACTACCATCCTGTATACTCTGCAAGAGTTCCCTAATATATAGACTTAACAGGATGGCTGAGGAATGTCTCACATCCACCAGTTCACTGGACAGCTCAAAGCAATCTTTTCCACTGACAGGGAGGAGCCACCCCTGAAGACACTTCTCCCTCACATAGGTTTCTGAGAGCCAGTCAGAAGATGAGTGTGGCCCACGTTCATTAAATATCCAAGGGTTGTTCTCCAGGGTGTGATCTTTGGTGTCGGATGAGGGAAGAGCTCCTTATGAATGTTTTCCCACACTGAGGACAATGACTGGGACCCTCCCTGCTGTGGAGTCTCTGATGTACTGCCAGGTGAGAGTTCTGCTTGAAGGACTTTCCACAATCTGGACACTGGTACGGGGTCTCCTTAGTGTGAATTCTCTGGTGTTTGGTCAGACAGGAGCTGTCCCTGAAAGCTTTACCACACTGATTACACTCATAGGGCTTCTCGCCAGTATGAGTCCTCTGGTGACGTATGAGGCCAGCGATGTTCCTGAAAAGTTTCTGACACTGATCACAGCCATAGGGCTTCTCACCAGTATGAATCCTCTGGTGCCTGATGAGGTAAGCACTCTCAATGAAAGTTTTCCCACATTCTTTACACTCATAGGGTTTCTCCCCAGAATGAATTTTCTGATGCACAATGAGGTGAGAGTTACGGTTGAAGGATTTCCCGCATTCCACACATTCAAAGGGCTTCTCTCCAGTGTGAGTCCTCTCGTGCTGGGTGAGGTATGAGCCATCTCGGAAGGCCTTTCCACATTTGCTACATTCATAAGGCTTCTCCCCAGTGTGGATTCTGAGATGCACAGTGAGGTGGGAGATGTCAGTGAAAGGTTTCCCACACTCATTACATCTATATGGCTTTTCCCCTGTATGAGTTCTTTGATGCAGAATGAGGGACGAATTTCGGTTGAAGGTTTTCCCACATTCTAAACATTCGTAAGGTTTCTCCCCAGTGTGAATTCTCTGGTGTTGTGTCAGAGCTGACCCATCACTGAAGGCTTTCCCACATTTACTGCATTTATAGGGCTTCTCTCCTGTATGGATTCTTTGATGCACAATTAGGTTATAGTTCTTGGAGAAGGATTTTCCACACTCATTACAGGTATAAGGTTTCTCTCCAGTGTGAGTTCGGTGATGCAAAACAAGAGAAGAGTTCCGTTTGAAGCACTTGCCACATTCAGTACATGTGTACAGTTTTTCTCCAGGGTTGTTCCTCCTGTTTTCATTAAGAGATGAACTCAGGGTAAAGATGTCCCCAAAGTCCTTACCTTCATACAGTTTCTTCCCTCTTTTCATTATTTTTTGTTCACCAAGAGGGGTAAAATGGTTGAAAGACTTAACACTTTCAGGGTATTTATAGGGTTTCTCTCTAGTTTGAGTTCTTCCAAATTGAATAACTTCCATGGAATGGTTGCAGGCTTTCCCACAGGTGTCACTGTCACCCGTTCTCTTCACTACATAACTTTTCTGACAATTGTGTAAAGCTGGGTCACAATCCAGGCTTTTAACACCTGAGCCACGTACATGGAAACCATTTCTTGTGGAAACTCTCTGACGTCGTGGAAGGTCTGGGCTCATGCTCAAATGCTCCCCAAATCCGGGATATTCATGAATTGCTTCCTGAGCTCCTGGTTCCTCCTGAGTTAAGGCTGATTGCCTCAAATGTCCCTCCTGGTTCTCACAGTCCCAACTGTTACCTAGAATGGAGAAATGAGGACCCTCTCGTGTAAATCCTTCCACCTCCATGTCACAGGACAGTTCTTCCTCATGAATTTTCTCAGCTGTCATTTTCAATCTTCTGTCTCAGGCTGGAAAGCAAAGAATGAAAAAGACAGACTTAAGTATATGAAGCCGTGCGTGGAAGAGGAATGAAAGATGGTGACAGGCCAAGTGTGTGAGTGTGTCTTTTTACTTCTTTTCTTTTTGAAATTCAGATCTATATGAGGGGGAGATACTGTGAGAGTCAAGGGATGGAGCCAAGAACAGGTTCAAGAAGAGCCACATGGCATTTCCACCCTCCTAGAGAACAGGCAGGGGGAATGGTGTTGGGGGTAAATATCACCAAAAGCATTAGCCTGAGACGTGGGAGATCAAAGGCCAGGTGTCACTCTGATCACACAGGAACACATCTCAGCCACTGTGTGCTTGTCCCCATCACCCACTTCCCCTACCAATAATCAGTACACACTCCAGATCCTCCACTTCACAATGGGCTTACAATAGCATTGAACGAGCAGTTTTCACCCCACCTTTGTGGTCAGAGTTCTGCCTTCGTGGATGGGACACAACACAGGCCTGGTAACCTGAAACTTCTGAAATTCCTAGATCTGTCAACGACCTTCCTGCAGGGTTATTATGAGAATTACATCATGTGTGCTGGCTCTGAGCTGGGAAACAGTACTGTAAGTGGCTGCCAGTGTCTTCACTGTTATGAATCTTTCTCTAAACATGCTCCCACCCCTTTGACTTGAAGATATCAAGAAAACTGGCTCTCAGGTTTCCCTGGTGGCACAGTAGTTAAGAATTTGCCTGCCAATGAAGGGGACACAGGTTTGAGCCCTGGTCCGGGAATATCCCACATGCCACAGAGCAACTAAGCCCGTGTGCCACAACTACTGAGCCTGCGTGCCACAACTACTGAAGCCCGTGCACCTGTAGCCTGTGCTCTGCAACAAGAGAAGCCACCGCAGTGAGAAGTCCATGCACCACAATGAAGAGTAGCCCCTGCTCGCCGCAACTAGAGAAAGCCCACGCACAGCAACAAAGACCCAGCACAGCCAAAAATAAAATTAATTAATTAATTTTAAAAATTTTCCAAACAAAAAAAAAAACAGAGTAAGAGTCAAAATACAAGTGGCAGGTGGAGAGACGATACTATAAAGTATAAAAGAGACAAAGGAACAGTGACAGAGATCTATAAAAAAATTCTTCCAGAATAGCACATAAAAGGGAAAAAACTGTGTAAAGGATACAAGGAGGAACTTGACGGAGAGAAAATAGAAATGTCCTGAATACATGAATTCTTGCTCATTCGCACCTAAAGGCATTTACAAACTGTAACTTTAAGAATACAAAATATGCACATTTCAGACAAGTAAAAGTAAAACAAGGCATGATAATATAATGCTTGAGCAGGTCATGCAAGAAGAGAGTTGGTGGGCACGTAAAGAGGTCAGTCCACTTGGCGGTGTAACTTGGTAGTGGCCATCGAAACATAAAACAGGCACATTCCGCCACCTTGCAATTCCACTTGGTGGTGTCTTAGATTCAGAAAGCCTGAGTCCCAAGCATAACTGGACATCAAGCTATACCTAAGGAGATGGTCTTAAAGGCCACCAGGAGAAAGACCACCAGTGAAGCAATGAACAGTACTGTGATTAACTTGGTAACGAAAATAGAAACCTGATAGTAATGGAAGATTACCATCAAAGTGCCGAGGGAAAAAACTGTCAGAGTGAAAGTAAGGGACTTCCCTGGTGGCACAGTGGTTGGGAATCCGCCTGCCAATGCAGGGGACATGGGTTTGAGCCCTGGTCTGGGAAGATCCCACATGCCGCAGAGCAACTAAGCCTGTGTGCCATCACTACTAAGCCTGCACTCTAGAGCCCACAAGCCACAATTACTGAGCCCTCATGCCACAACTACTGAAGCCTGTTCCCCTAGAGCCCGTGATCCGCAACAAGAGAAGCCACCGCTTCTCACTGCCCGTGCACCACAACAAAGAGTAGCCCCCACTCACCACAACTAGAGAAAACCCACATGCAGCAACGAAGACCCAACGCAGCCAAAATTAAATAAATAAATAAAATTTTTTTTAAAAAGAGTGAAAGATAAAGGCAGCTTCAGAAAAGCAAAAGCAGGGTTTATCTCCAAGGACACTTGCTAAAAGAATTAGAAAAAAACTGTTCTTCAGGGAAAAAAAAAAAAAAAAAACCCATAAGGAAGGAATGGAGAGAACATGTATTTAAATAAAATCCAGCACTGAACACATAAAATGAAGCAGTAACAATGACTCAGGGGTTAACAATGGGATGGACTAAAATACTGAATGGCAGTGGCCTGTGAGATGAGAATGGAGTAGCAAAATTAAGTGTCCTGACATTCTTATATTGTTCATGATTCATGTTAGACCTGGTCAAGTCAGGAATAAAAGAATAAATGTCATGTAAAACTTCCAAGCCCACAGAGCAGTGGTTCTCAACCAGAGACGGTTTTACCCTCAAAAGACACTTGGCAACATCTGGGAACATTTTTGGCTGTCATGACTTGGGGTCAGATGCTACTGGAATCTAGGGATGCTGTGAAATACCTTTAACACACGAGACAGCCTCTCACACATAGAATGACCAGCCTCAAAACTCAAATGTAAATAGTGCTGAAGTGGAAAAACCCTGTTACAGAAGAAAAGAATAATAAAGAAAAGGAAAAAAAAAACACATCAATCCAGAAGAAGGTGCTAAGGGGGAAAGCTCAAAAAGGACAGGTTAAGATAGAAAGTATAAAATAGGACACCACAATAACAATAAATGTAGGTGGCTTTGATAGGCAAGATAAACACTGCGTCAGACTGCATTAAAAAATGTGTTTGTAACAGACACCAAAAGCAAAAGGACACAGAAGACAAAAGCAAAAGTTCGGAACAGACAAATGCTAACCAAACAAAGATTGAATGGTGCTTTGCTAACCAACAATAAACTTCAAGGATGATAACAGGGCAATATAACAATGGCAAAGATGTCTACATTAACAGCATGCCTCCAAACACAGAGCAAAGTCAGCAAATCCAACCATACTGGGAGGGTTTATGAACCTCTTTCAGAAATGGAAATGCAGAAAGACTGAACAGAGACAAGCATAAGAGAATGTAATTAGCCAGCCTGGTCACACAGCTGAATGAAGACCCACTACCAACAATTAGAGCCAAAGGCTTTCCAAGCACAAGTGGAACATTTGCTAACATTGTTCATAAATGAGGCCAAAGAATAAGTTCAACAAAGACCAGACCACAGTGTCTTGACTACAAACGTGGTCAAGTTAAAAACCAGTAACAGAAAGAATGCCAAATACAAAAAATAATAGTATTTTTTTTAAAAAAAACCTATTTATTTGGAAAAATGAAAACCTGTTTCTCAGTAATTCACAGAGAAATCCTGATGCATATTAGAAAGCATCTACTTAGAAAACATGGAGAACTGAACAATTGATGATGATGGCACATCTCAAAACATGTAGCAAAGGAGGATGCAGCTAAAGAAGTTCCTAGGTGAAAAATGTTGGTCTTTAATGCATGGGGCTTTTTTTTTGTTTGTTTGTTTTTGTTTGTTTTTTGTTTTTGTTTTGTTTTGTTTTTGTTTTTGTTTTTTCTGGCCATGCCATGCGGCTTGCGGGACCTTAGTTCCCCAACCAGGGATTGAACCTGCGCCCTCAGCAGTGAAAGCGCAGAGTCCTAACCACTGGACTACCAGGGAAGTCCCTAATGCTTGTATTTTAAAGAGAAGACTGAAAGTTAGTGAGATCACTGTTCAACTTAAGAAGTAAGGGACAGAGCCACAGAGAAAACCAAAAGGAGGTAAAAGGAAGGTGATAATAAAGGTAAGATCAAAAATTACAGAAACCAAAAACAAGGAAACAGCCAAGAACATGAAGAAAACCAAAAGTCTGTTATTTGAAAAGACTAATGAAATTACTTTTGGCAAGAGTAATCATAAAGTAAAGAACAAGAAGGCATACATAGGTGATATTCATCATAAAAAGGGGATTTAATTAAGAAACAGAAGAAAGTTATCAAAATGCTAACATTAGATTTATCCTACAACAGAAGGCCTATGAAACATTAGAACATCTACTGATACGGTTCCCGACATTTTCAGATTAAAGTAGAAGACAGCCCCCTACATCCTATCTCAATAAATTCAGAAAGTAATTTGAACAAATTTCACCCAGACTCTTGATCAAAGTGCTCTCAGATTAAAGTAGTAGACCCCTTTACCCTATGTAAATAAATTGATAAGGTATTTTAAGGAAAGCTCCAACTCATGATGAAAATTCTTATCAACTATGAACACAGGGAATTAAGGTAAACATCACATGTGAGGAAACATGAGAACTGTTCAGTCTGATGCCAAGGCCAAGACCCCAGAGGCCTGCTAGGTCCACAGCATTCAACAGTGATGCGGAGGGGCCAGCTGGCCAGGAGGACCATATCCCCAGCTGTCA